CTAAATTGATAAGTCTATTAGGGGAAAAAAAAAAACCAACCCAGAGCAATTAAGTTGAAAACCTTCTGAAAATAATGCTGAATTCCTCATCTTTGCAACAAGATTTATTCCTGGGTAAACAAGAGATTATTGTTTTGGGAAGAGGACCCTCCTACATGTTCTGTTCACATCCTGCACCCTCCACCTTACTCCCCAGCAGCTCCCCACTAAGCAGGATGGGGCTACCACTCTCCTGGGCATCGTCCCATGCTCAGGTGATCTCGGTGCCGCATTACCAAACCTAACTGCCCTTGGCCCGTTCTCTCAGAATTCTGCCATCTCATTCCTGGGAGAACAGTATCCCTAAGCAGATGATATAAATGCCATTTCCTGGTGGTAGGTTAATGTATGACCTCCTGCCCCAAGGACATTTGCATTTTAATAGAGAATAGAGACCTGAATACATAATGTATTAAGTCAAGGATAGCAAACTAATGGTTGGGTTGTAAACCAGCTCCTGGCAGGTGGAGGTGGGGGATGCATTTGACTTCAGTTCCCACTTCATGCCCTTTTGCCTCTACCATCACCAGTGCCCCTCTGAATGCACTCTGCCTCCCATAATCCCCTATCCTGGCAGTCAAGGTCAAGCCTGGGCCCAGGAGGCAAAGACGACAGCACCCTTGGCAACTGTTCTTCCCCACAATCAGGTGGGACTCGGCATGAACCGCTGTGATATCTTCTCAGACTCAGGGATGCCCACTACCGGGCTTCTTCATTGTTTGCCAGGCTCCCTGGATGTCAACCTCCCTGCCTTCCAACCAATGGCAGCTAAGATTTATTGACCACTTGCTACGTGTTAGGTTCTACGGTAAGTGCTTTATATGTTTGAACTCATGCAATCCTCACCATCCTGTGACACTGAAATTATATATCAAAATGGAATACCCAGCTGAATGTCAATCCTGGGTACAGGTACAACTAATATCCCCATTTTAAAGATAAAGAAATACTCTTTTATTACACTATTTTTATATGGCATATAGCTTCTATTATATGTCAGTCACTGTTACAGGCCGTAGGGATAGCCCTGTGAACAGAACACAAAAATGCAGCCCTTGGAGATCTTCCAATACTGGGAAGGTTAATAAAGGTAACTTTTAGGGAGACTTTTGGCAGAGATCTTAAATCAGGCAAGACAGTTAGCTACCTCTCCTGCTAGGCCTTCTCTTTTGCAGGTGATAGCCGCTTATCAACTTTTGTAGAGTGATCAGACTCAGTCAGTGGACTGGTGGCCCACCTTCTCTCATATCCGGCATCTACTCCAGTTTTATTTGCATCACCGTGGGCTCCGAGGAGCTTCTAAATCTCATCTGTCTCATAAAGGTAGCTGTTCAAGGAAGTGGGCTGGGACAATGGCAAAAGACTGACCACATAGTTCTATCTGAACCAGCCCTATGGACAGAGGAGTGTTCTATTTCAGAAATTATAAAGTCACTTAGAGCTTAAAACAAAAAAAGTATGCTTTGCGCTAGAAGCTTCTAGCTACATGTTTAGAATTCATTAAAGACAAAACCTCAACTTCGTTTAAAAAAAAGAAGTCAACTTCTCTTTGTGAATATGGAACAAAGTAAATTAGGATCTTGATCTCAAGGGTACTCTATTTATAAAGAAATTTTCTACCATTAGCATCTTGACAGGACTTTTGTGGCCGCTGTGATGAGATGCATTGTGTTTCTAAACTTTACCCCCAGGCTTTTAACATAAAAATGTCCCTTTGGACCTTGAAAGCCTACTAAACAAGAGAGAAGACACAGCAGAGAGTAAAACGCAGTAACTAAAGTGGGGCATACCAGAACTGCTGGGGCAGTGGGACAATGCTAAACAAGGTAAGCCGCTTTGGGGTTGCCAGTGAATGATGAATAATTTGCAGACAATTTTCTAGACTACAATGCAGGGTTGGGGGTGGTACTAAGGTTACCATAACAATGCAAACATCATGCTTCCATCTTTGCCCTGTCACTCTGTGAGACCTTCTTCCCCTTTCCTCATCTGGATGTATGTTACATAATTTCATATATTTTTCTGATTTAAAAAATATATGCTTAGGATAAAACTGCAAACATTACAAAACTAACAGAGTTGAAAAGGACAGTTCCTCATAGTATGACCATACTTTCTTATTTTACATTTGCTGTCTTATTAGCAGCACACCCTTCATTCTCAAAATCATTGCTGTTTAGATGACAAATTGCATGTCACCCTATTCATAACCTGCACCCTAGATTTCACTATGGTTACTGCTTTAGTGTTTTGTTTGGCTTTGTTTTGTTTTTTGAGAGACAGAGAGAAAGAGCGAGTGCGTGCACGTGTGAGTGTGGGGAGGGGCAGAGGGAGAGAGAGAGAATCCTAAGCAGGCTCCACGCTGAGTGTGGAGCTCAAGGTGGGGCTCGATCTCATGACCCTGAGATCATGACCTGAGCCAAAATCAAGAGTCAGACACCCAACCAACTGAGCTACCTAGGCACCCCTCTTTTAGTTCATTTCTAAAACACACCTTCACCCACTAATTTCAAGAGCTCTGAAAAGTATATCACATGTGCTCAAGAACATGATCCTCACAGTTCTTAAACGATGCCCAACATTTTCCTCTTTCTGAGATGAACTTGTGAAGCTTGCAGCATCCCATGGAGTTTCTATGAAGGCACTCCTGCCATCCCTCTGTTGCCCCCACTGGCCCTGGGTCGCTTCTGTCTAACGTCAAAACCAGTCAGTTCAACCTGCACTGATGATGCTATAATGTCATAGCTCTAGTGAAGCAAATGCACCCAAACTGCCAAAGCTGCTAATGAGCCAACACTTTAAGCAACACCAAGTAACAGTGACCTTCATTACCACAGGGCACCCCCTTCACGGTGCACTTTGTCAATGCAGTGGGGAAGCATGCTACGTGTCTTTATAGACTTTTACGAAAACAACACTTTTGGCGTTCATCCTCAGGCTGTCTTCTTGGGAGGCTTTAGGCACAATTCCATGGGGATCCATCCAAGGGCAGTATCCTCGGACATCCCACTCCCCATACTCTGGCACTAATCTTTCACCATGCTGGGGGGATTTGACTCTCAGTCTAGGTGAGTTGTATCCCAGGAGGTGGCTTGGTCTTCACTAAGACAGAATTCTGGGGGCACCTGGGTGGTATAGTCAGCTGGGCAACTGACTCTTGTTTTCCACTTGGGTCATGATCTTGGAGCCTACGATTGAGCCCTGAGTCAGGCTACGCACTCAGTGCGGAGTCTACTTGAGGTTCTCTCTCCCTCTCCCTCTGCGCTCCTTCTTCAAACAAACAAATAAATAAATAAATCTTAAAAAAAAAAAAAGAATTCTGCCTGTGCTCTGCAGGCATGTTTGAGTCACAGTGTGATCTCATCTGCCACATGCAATCATTTCTTAATCTATTTATATTCTTGGTCCCCATTCTCTTTACCTTTTGCCTCATTTTTTCCCTCCCTCTTCCACATTTTCTTTTTTTTTTTTAAGATTTTATTTATTTATTTGACAGAGACAGAGACAGCGAGAGCAGGAACACAAGCAGGGGGAGCGGGAGAGGGAGAAGCAGGCTTCCCGCCGAGCAGGGAGCCCGATGCGGGGCTCGATCCCAGGACCCTGGGATCATGACCTGAGCCGAAGGCAGATGTCTAATGACTGAGCCACCCAGGTGCCCCTCTTCCACATTTTCTTGACAGTTTTCCAATCCCTAGGTATTTTATTAGTGTAATGTTTGTTCATTTTCTTAATTCTTATACTTTATTTTTTTATGGTAGTGGAAGAAAGTAGGGGAAAAAATGTTTCTTGTGTGGAATGATATTTCTTTTCAATTGTACATTTCTTGAGAACAGGACCATGTCATAGCACAAACTCAATGCCTGTGCATGTGAATCCTTAATAACTGCTCTTCTGACTCAGAAAATAAAGCTCAGGATTTATAATAAATCCTTCATACTATTAACTTTTTGACAGAACATAAATACAGATGTCAAGATATTAAAAATATTGGGTGGGTTCAGGAATTAGAGATTTTTTTCTTTTTTCATGGCATCCAGTGGCTAACCTTTCCCCAAAAGGAAAGAAAGCAGACAGGAACAGGATTTTTGTCTCTTCAGCATCTAACAGAAAACCTACTTTTCGTTAGGGCTGCTTATGTAAATGTATGTTAAGAAGCAAACCATATTTGAATAACTTCAGTTTGGGTAGTTTTCCACTTCTTACATTTTTCTGCCCTAGTGTTCCAGAAGTTTCTCTTGTCAGTTAGCCAGTAGCTGGCTATTGCATCCTGATGATATATTCAAACATAAGGATTCAGTGTAAGGTCAACAAAAAGGCTCTCTCAGATCTGGAGGGAGCTCGCACAGCCTGCCCACATTCATGCACACTACAGCTCCACATTTCCTAAGACCTGGGCTTAGTTTGCCAAATGGGACAAGTTAAGATAATTTTAAGCAGCCTTAAATTGCACTGCAGCGTTTTGTACGAAGGAACTGAAATTCTGTGCTAATTAGGAATATTTATATCATGGGGATGTCTTGCAGAGTGGAATTTTTAAAAACCAAATTATACTGAGTTCTCACCATAACACTGTCCTAAGCCTTTCCACTGTGGGACCTCCTTTGGGGTGTGAGTGGCTTCTAATAAGCTCCCTTTAATGCTTCAGGAATGAAAACCCTTGAGTAGTGCCTAAAATGACCCCATTGATTCAGCCTTTCAGCCTAGAGTTTTGCAGAGGGCTCAGGACAACAAATAAAAACAAATCTTGGAATGATTACATTCCAAACTAACATTTTGTTTACTGACAAATTATTAGATCCCTTATTTTAAGAGGTTTTAAATTTTGCTGAATGTAACTCATTATTTGATGAGTTCATGGTAAACCTGAAATCGTCCTATCAGAGAAATAATTTCATCTATTGACTGCCTTAACCCTCCCTGAAATAATGTCTCTTGCTACTATGAGATTATCACACCCACTCTTTTTTTTTTTTAAGATTGCTTTTTTATTACACCCACGTTGTTGCAGCTCATGACCAGCACAGTGCTTTGAGAACATTTTTGTTTTTAACAAATGAAAGCAGCTCTTTGTAAGAAAAAGGCACCTGTTCCTTCAATAGGTCAGAAAAGCTTCCCCTCCCCCCCACCCCCCGGCTGGAGCAGTCCCGGGGGACCCAGACTGCTACCCTACAGACATTCAGCAAAGCAATCCTTAGCCTCCCTGACCCCCTCCCCCAGCAGCTGGGATGAGGGACACCTATGCCTCATGGGTCATTTGATCTTGAGGTCCTTCAAGGCTGATTCCAAGCTCTTCACGTCCCAGATGCTCATGCCACCATCCATTCCTGTGGTGCAGAACTGGGAGCACTTGGCCTTCCCCCACTGAGCACCGAGATCTGGCTCACACTGTTCTTATGCAGCGAGTCCAGGCCAACGCCCGAGGCCACACTGCCCTCCGAGCTCGCCTTCTTGTCCAGGTTCTGGAAGCGCTCTCGGACCGTCAGGCCGCGCTGCGAGCTCTGCTTGGGCACATCCAGCCGCCCGCCGAAGCTCAGCGTCCCTGTGGTGCCATCATAGGTAAACAGCACCGGGAAACAGTCGTAGCCCGCTGCCACCAGACTGTTGTCGGTGATGAAGGTCAGGGCCAGCAGCGGCAGCGTTTCAGAGGCCAGAGTCGCGACAGCCATTTTCTTGTCGGCATCAGCCAGGCACAAGGTGCTGTCATGGCTGACCCAGGCCATGCGGCTGCCACTGGCCGAAAAGCAGACGCCATGCACCCAGCCACAGCTACTGCTAGACTCAAACATCAGCTCCCCGAAGGGCATCTTGGAGCCCCATGGGGTGGGTGCTGGCCGCTCCTCCACCTCCTTGATGTAGGCCGAGAAGATCCTGCGCTTGAAGTCACAGGAGCCTGCGGCCAGGAGCACGTTGTTGGGGTGCCAGTCCAGGCTGAGGACAGTGGAACGAATGGGCTTCTTGATGTGCTTGCACACCCACCAGTCATTTTCCTGCTCAAAATAGCAGATGGAGATGACACGGGAGCCACTACCCACAGCGAACTTGTTCTCCTGGGGGGCCCAGCGCACACAGCGAGCAGCCCGGTTGATCCTCAGGATGACGAGGGTGGGTTTCCACGTGCGGCCCTTGAGCGTCCACACGTAGGCATTGCGGTCTGTGCCACAGGTCACGATTCGGTTACTCTCGGGGGCCCAATTGATGCCTGTCACCTGCCCATTGTGCTCCTTGAGCTCATGCACCTTGACCCACTTGGCCCCGCTCTTCTCATAGATGTGCACCTCGTGGTTGTTGGGGCAGATGGCAATCTGGGTGCGGTCCTTGTTCCAGGCATGGCAGCTGATGGGTTCCACCAGGAAGCTGTGGTAGGCCATGGCCGCTCAATTCCTGTGCTCGGGGCGCCCCGGCCGCGGACTCTGGGCCGTCGACGCGCCAAACCGGCTCTTATCACACCCACTCTTTTTACTTACTGACCACATGAAAGAATTTAGTATTTATACATATTATGTAATTGATCTAAAGTAGATCTGACTCAAATAAAATTTTAGCCAGGCAATGTGTTAAGCTGTTGGGATACTAAATAAAGCAGAGACTGTAGCCTGGTAAGGAAAAGAGGTAACTGTACGAACTATTACATAAAATATGTAAGCTCTAAGATAATGAATGTACAGGATGCCAGAGGAGTGGGCACACACGGAATTGCTCATTTTGTGTCTGTGGGGGTCAGGGAGACATATCTGGCAGAGAACACATATATTAAATGATAGCATAGTTTTCCACAGCTATTGAAAGCTTTGGTGGGGGTGGAGGGAGAGAGAAATGTGATATTTTAGAATCTTGAATTAAAGAACAACAAAAATTTCCCTATAAATAATTAGATGTACTGGATATTTTTTTCCTTTGGCACTTAAGACATAATTATATTAAAAAGGCAAATGCACATATGTCATATTATCCTCCCATACACAGATGACATCAAGCTGGTTGATAGAGTGGATATGACAGATGACAGAATTAAAACTGAAATTTATGATTTTAGCCTGACAAGATGAAGTTATCTTTTCCTGCAGGAAACAAAATGATATTCATCAGGGATACAAATAAAGGCTTACATTTAGATTAGAAAGTGGAAGCTGAGGAAAACCTGGTTTGCGGAGCAGATGGGCATTTTGCACACCAATAGACTAAAATATGAAAAACATATTTTCATTCTGGGAGTCACTTATAAAGAGGGACAGTAAAAACTGACCTGTCTTTGTGGGAGGGTGGGAAGTCAGGAATGATTGATGAAATCGATTTGACACAACCACCCTTTTCTGAGTAGCTGCTTTGTGCCCAGCCTGAGGGTATGAAAATGAAGACACTTCCCTCCTGTGAAACCAGTCACTGTCCACTGGGGAAGGCTGACACATATGTGAATCCCACGTGATAAATTCTATACAATGGTTACTTAAAAAGTGCTATGGGAACACAGAGAGGAAAATTAATTCTGTCTGGGGCTATGAAGGACCTACCAAGAGAAAAAAAACATGAGTTTGGCCTGGAAGACTGGAGTTTGTATTTCCTTGGTGGTAACGGAGGGCAGGGGAAGCAGGGTATGTAGACAAGGACTTGGCAGGCAGGAGGAAGCGGGAGGCTAATTTTAGCTCTTCTATCATCTGGAATAGTCAGCAGTGAAGAGGACTGCATCAAGATTCAGGACCTTCTTGAGATTGGAGGGATCATGCAAACAATAGATAGTGACTCTACAACAGTCAGTAAAAGATTCTAAATTGTTTTTAGTCTTACAAGCATTATGGATTTTACAGTTCATCACTTTAAACTTTTGCTCCCTGGAAGACAAAATTTTAACCCACCTCTGGTGAGTGTACAAGCTTTATAATACACCTGTTGCATATTACAAGTTACCTTACCTGTTTCCTATTTGCTTAATATAGTAAGTTCGATTACCTATTAGTAATATTTTATATTTTTCTACATTCACATTATACGATACATTTTGATAAGCCATATGTATCCTTTTGATTAATAGACTGATATATATATATAAACAGGTAAGCTATGAACAATTCTAGAGTCACTTTCCTTTTTCAGTTTATTTGGAGGTATGAAAACCATCATGATTTTCCTTTTTCACCATTGAATTGTTCCAAAATATTGAAAGACACAAAATGCAAATCAAAACCACAGTGAGATACCATTTCACACTCCTTAAAGTGGCTACAATAAAAAAGACAATAACAAGTGTTGGTGAGGACGTGGGGAAATTAGAACCCTCAAACATTGTTGAATCCACTTTGGAAAACTGTTTAGTAGCTTCTCAAAAAATTAAACATAGAGTTACCATATGATCCAGCACCACTCTTAAGTGTAAACACAAGAGAATTAAAAACCTATGCCCACACAACTGACAAGGTTACAGAGAAAGGGAAACCCTCATGCACTGTTGGTGGGAATGCAAACTGCTGCAGCCACTCTGGAAAGCAGTATGGAGGTTTCTCAAAAATTTAAAAATAAAACTACCCTACCAGCCAGCAATTGCACTACTAGGTATTAACCCAAAGGGTACCAAATACAGATTTGAAGGGGTATGTGCATCCAGATGTTTATAGCAGCACTGTCTACAATAGCCAAATTATGGAAACAGCCAAATGTCCATCGACCAACGGAGGGATAAAAAAGATGTCATACACACACACACACACACACACACACACACACACACACACACACATAATGGACTACTACTCAGCCATCAAAAAGAATAAAGTCTTGCCATTTGAGAAGGAGTTAGAGAGTATTATGCTAAGCGAAATAAGTCAGTCAGAGAAAGACAAATACTATATGATTTCACTCATATGTGGACTTTAAGAAACAAAACAAACAAGCCTAGGGGAAAAAAGAGAGAGGCAAACCAAGAAACAGACTCTTAACTATAGGGAACATACTGATGGTTACCAGAGGGGAAGTGGGTGGGGGATGGGTGAAATCGGGGATGGAGACTAAGAAGCGCATTTGTTGTGAAGAACACAGGATGATGTATGGAAGTGTTGAATCACTATATTGTACACCTGAAACTAATATTACACTGTATGTTAACTAACTGGAATTTAAATAAAAACTTAAAAAAAATATGCCTACACAAAAACTTGTACACAAATGTTCATGACAGCATTATTGATAATAGCTTAAGGCATCCATTAACTGATGAATAGATAAGCAAAATGTGGTATATCCATACAGTAGGCTATTATTTAGCCACAATAAAGAGTGAAATACTGATACATGCTAAAACATGGATGAACCTAGAAATCATTATGCTAGCTGAAAGAAGTCAGACACAAAAGCCACATGTATTATTCCATTTATGTGAAATAGCCAGGGTAAGCAAATCTATACCGATAGAAGGCAGATTAGTAGTTGTTAAGGGAATGAGAGTGGTGTGGGAAGGAATGAGGTGTGTCTGCTAATAGGTCAGGGTTTCTTTTTAAAGATTTTATTTATTTATTTGAGAGAGAGAGAACGCGTAGGGGGAGGGGCAAAGAGAGAGAGAGAGGCGGACTCCACACTCAGCTGAGAGCCCGATGCGGGGCTCCATCCCAGGACCCAAAGGCAGACGATTAACCAATTGAGCCACCCAGGGGCCCAAGGGTTTCTATTTAGCATGGTAAAATATTCTAGAATTAGGTAGTTGTGAGGTTGTGTAACTTTGTGAAATAACAAAACCCACTGAACTTTCCACTTCTTAAAAGGGAGAATTTTAGGGTACGTACATTATATCTCAATAAAAAATACTGACAGAATTAGTTGGGCAGGTAGAATGTGTGGGAGATCGATTAATTATATTTTCCTGTATGAGACTTCGTTTGATGATCACTTCAAACATCTCCAGTTAATTCAGGTACTTTCTTTTGTAACTTTGAGGACTTCATTAAAAAAAATCATTTTCCTCAGCCTTGAAATTTACACAATTTATTTGGAAGAAATGGCTGCTTAATGACTTTTTTAAATTAATCATAAACTGTCTTTTGAATTGAGTATTAAGACTATTAATAGTTAATTCCTAATTAATTAGATCTAATAAATATTTATTTTGAAGTTTAATACCCATCTTTATTTAGACTATAAAACCATTTCAATAATAAACAAAATTATCAAACACTGTTTTTCATATTCCCTAGCTAGATGCTAACATGACATTCACCATATCTGGAGGAGGTATTTCTTCCAAGCCTATTCCCAGCACAAAGGAAAAGACTGCTTGAAATTTTCCAAGCTCCGGTAAGTGCTATGGAATAAAATTACTTCACTCTAAAAAGATGTGACTGTCTTCTCCCCTTTACTGTAATTATTCTTTCCTAGGAAGCAAGTTCTTAACATGTTTAAGACAACATGAAGTTTAGATATCTTGGGCTTGCGTTTGTTTGTTTGTTTGTTTTTTAATCTTGTGAAATCAGTTGGGATATAGTTGAGCCCCGTCTTACTCACATTTCCCAGTTACCTGGATTAATTGATGTGAACAACAATGGTGCTTTGAAGCACTCAGGTACAACAGTGGAAAGGATCACATTTCTTAGTTAATGAATGAATTTCTCTTTCATAAAGCTTTGTTTATGCAAATAAATAGAGTATTATCTTGATTAGTGAATTCCCTGGGAGGTAAGGGCCTTCTAAGAAGTCAGTTGTGTTAAAAACCTAAACAAACAAAATCAGAAAGGATGGGAAGGTGAGCTGCCTGAGAAGCCTGTGTGCTCAGCTTCTGCCAAAGGCTGCCCCACTGAAAGCGAATAGGCCCAGCCTGGGGGAAACCAGTAGCCTTTTGAAGTCCCACCTCTGCTGGCACGTCAAGCCTCCAGACCTGCCACACTGTCTCCCTCTCCATGTTGCTGTCGCAAGCCAGTTCTAAGCAAGAGACAATCTATACCCTTCTCCTTCCCTACCTAGTGACTGGAGAACTGATTAGATTCTGAAAGTCTTCTAACTTGAGGGATAACTCTAAATTAAGCTTTAACCTCTAGTATGAAATTAAGGCCCTATTCTTTTATTAAAAAGTAAAATTAAAAGAACCTAAGGCCTGGGCAAACTGTTCAGCGGCCTCGAAGAGGGGCCTGTTGGGCATAACAGCCTGGCACCTGGCTGTTCCTGAATTAGATCTCTGGGGACAAAGATAATGCAGGCAGGACAGGTCTGTTCTCTACTGAGAGTCCTAAAAAGCTAGTTCTCGTAGCTGGGGTTTTTGTTTTTTTTTTTAACTTTACTTATTTATTTATTGAAGAGAGTGAGAGAACAGAGAGCACAAGCGAGTGGGGGGGGTGTGGGCAGAGGCAGATGGAGAAGCAGCCCCCCCCCCCCCCACTGCTGAGCAGGGAGCCCGACGCAGGGCTCCATCCCAGGACCCGGAGATCATGACCTGAGCCGAAGGCAGAAGCTTAACGACTG